CTTAGCAGATGGAGATGGAATATCCAACAAATGTGGCAGCAGACACTGTCATGCATCAATCAACAATGTATTAAGTGCCTGACATGTATCTGAAAGCATGCTACATACTGAGGGTGGAAAGAGGAATACATAGAATTTTTTTGGAGTGACAGACATATAGTAATTAAACAGTGTAATAAATGCTATTACAGAAGTGTGTATAAAGTACTGTGGGAGCTAAAGAAAAAGATGGCTTCACAAAAAAAGTATCACTGGAGCCAAGTCTTTTGGCCTTTGCTCAAAGCATAATGATGAATGAAATCTTATACCATAAACATTTTAAAAAATTGCCCCTTAAGTTAGAAACTAAGGACAAAATAATTTTAATCTTTTATTCAGAATTTTAGATTATTTAAATATGAATACAATATGAAATAAACCTAAAATCTTCAAAACCTCTAAGATTTTAACTCTATGTAAAATCTGAAATGGTTCCTTTTAGGGGGTGTTTGTAGTTTTCACTCTCCAGAATCTATAATCCCCTTCCTTATTGAAAAAGCATCTGATTTGCATAATATAAGATTTCATTCATCAGTTTCAAACTTCTATTGGGAGAAGAGTGAGTTTCTTGTGTTGCTTTCATGTACTCATATGAATACCATTTTAAAAACATGTAAATATGTTCAGTGTATGTGAAGAATAAGTTGTATGTGAGAGTTTGAATTAATGTTACAATAGAAATGTTCAATTTCCTGTCATAAAGGACCATTGAAAAATGACTCAAACTTGTTTTTATAGAACATCAAAACTGTTTATACCTTTAGATTGGTTATTTTAAGTTTAAAATGTTCACCCTTTATCTGACTTGGTAAATGCAGTAATTACCCTCATATAGTAATACTTGTAATATGTTACCATGTGAATTTACTAAATTTGTTGAGATGGGGCTCCAGATTGGAGGTGTAGATATTAACTATATCTTGGTTAATTAGATAAAGCAACAAATGAAATATGTACAAATGAACTTGATATGAGTAAAATATTTACTCTTGTTATATATAATTGGATACATGTACAGATTGAGTATCCTTAATCCAAAAATCCAAAATTCAAAATTCTCCAATGAGCATTTCTTTTGTGTGTCATGTTAGTACTCAAAAAGTTTAGGATTTGAAGCATTTCTGATTTTAGATTTCAAGATCAGGAATACTCAACCTGTACTTATGTAACATAGTCAGAGGGAAAAAAAAATCAAATTGCTTTGTATGGTGTGTCATTTTTTTGTCTTGTCTTTTTTTTTTTTTTTTTAATTTATATTTTAGAGACAGGATCTGACTCTGTCACCCAGGCTTGATTTCAGTGGTGCAATCATAGCTCACTGCAGTCTCAAATTCCTGGGCACAAGCAAAGATATCCTCCTACCTAAGCTTCACAAGCATCTAGGACTAGAGGTGCATACCTCCAGCCCTAGCTAATTTTTTTTTTTCATTTGTGAAGCCAGGATCTCGCTTTGTTGACCAGGCTGGTCTTGAACTTATGGCTGCAAGCGATCCTCCCACCTTGACCTCCCAAAGTGCTGGGATTATACGCTCAGCCTGTCATTTTCTTTATTAAAATAAGTTGCTATAGAAACTTTGTTTACCTGGAACTCTTAGAGAATGAATCATTCCCAATAATAGAATTCCATGCAGCCTAATTTCCAAATACTTGGTCAGGTTTTCCTTGAAGTTCAAATGTTTAAATTTTGCTCTAAAATATATTTCATAATTTATTTACCTTATTAAATAAAGTAAATAAAAATCTACTTTTTATTTATGGTCCAGGTCATTATGAGCATCATTTATTGTGCTGTGCAGCAATGGAAGTTTATAAGGTGGTTTGTCCCTTGTGAAAAAGTGATAAAATGCTTAGAGATTTTGTGTGTGTATTATGTCCTTTTTAACCTACCTCTCATTCCTGTCACTTTTTATTCGTTGGCTTACAGCATTCTGTTCTAAATGCTAAGGAATTCGAAACCCTATTACCATTCCTTTACACATAGTATATGACATAGGAGGCTCCAGATAGTGACTAATAGTGGTCCTGGCTTAATAAATATTTATTAGTTGAAATACTGTCATGTGTTGCTTATCGACAAGGACGGGTTCTGAGAAATGCATGGTTAGGCATTTTTATCCTTGTGCAGACATCATAGACTAAACTTACACAAACCTAGATGGGATAGCCTACTACACACCTAGTCTATAAACCTGTACAGCATGTTACTGTACTGAATACTATAGGCAGTTATAACATAATGGTATTTGTGTATCTAAACATATCTAGACATAGAAAAGGTACAATCAGAATATAGTATTATAATCTTATAGAAGGAACCACATCATAATTGTCTGTCACTGAAATGTTATGTTGAACATAACTGTATTACAAAGTTGTTTATATATTATAAAGTTGTTACTGTATAACAAAGTTATCAAACATACCTTCTTTCATAATCTTACAAGGAAGAGAGGTATTTGAGGGGAAAAAAATTCAAATTGGCATTTTCCAAAGATAATTACAACATCTTAAAATTTTAAGAACTTGAAGATGCCTCAGTAAAAATCCATGTCAGGATATAAGTCTATAGCGTGAGGCTATAAGTCTTCTATAGCCAACCTTTATCTGGCTAAAATCCATGCCATTTGCTGTCACCTCAAAAAAAGAAAGACAACTGTCAGGAGACTCCCTTCCTTCTGCTAATAATATTATCTTTATACCTACTCTAGCTGCTATGTTTTTGCTGAACTAAAAGCTTCAAGAAAATAAAAAGTACTTCCTCACAATTGAGTGTTGGCCAAACCCATGCTATCCAAATATGATAAAACACTGGTTATCTAGTAATTTTTAAATTTAAAATTAAGATTATACTTTAAATAGTTGTCTAACCTGCACTCGAATGTTTATAGCAGCACAATTCATAATTGCAAGGTTGTGGAAACAGCCCAAGTGCCCATCAATCCAAGAATGGATTAATAAAATGTGGTATATGTATACCATGGAGTACTATTCAGCTCTAAGAAACAACAGTGATATAGCATATCTTATATTTTCCTGGTTAGAGCTGGAACCCATACTACTAAGTAAAGCTTCCCAAGAATGGAAAAACAAGCACCACATATACTCATCAGCAAATTGGTATTAATTGAGCAGCACCTAAGTGGACACATAGGTACTACAGTAATAGGGTATTGGGCAGGTAGGAGGGGGGAGGGGGGCGGGTATATACATACATAATGAGTGAGATGTGCACCATCTGGGGGATGGTCATGCTGTAGACTCAGACTTGGGGGGGGAAGGGGGCAATGGGCATTTATTGAAACCTTCAAATCTGTACCCCCATAATATGCCGAAATAAAAAAAAAAGGAAAAAAAATAGTTGTCTATATGAATCTTCATTTATCTTATTCTTTCATTCTTGCAATTCTCTAAATATCAGGTAAACAGACTGGTTAGGTATTTTGGAATGAGAATGTCATATAATATTCCACATTCCTTTCCCCTCCCCTAATTTTTTTAAAAATAAAAACCTTGTTTAAAAACACCTGTAGAGTTACGTACTAAATAGCTACCTCTTGAGGGCTCGCCAAAGCAAGCAGACTTTCTTTGGCTTCCTTATATAAAGCTTTTTTACACTCTGGTTATTGGCTAGAGCTTTTACATTTTCTCCTGTATCCCATTCCACTGGACAATGGGCCTTTCCTTTATTGGTGGCTTTTTTTTTTGGTCGCTAAAAATGTTGTCATGAGGATACTTCATACACGTGTGTGTGTCTGTCTGTGTGTGTGTCTGTGTCTCTATAGGATAGTTTCCTACAGTTGTTTTGCTAAGTCAAAGGTTATGTACTTTTAACATTTTGATATATGTTGTCAAATGATACTCCAAACATTAAAAACAAAAATTTGTGAGCCTGCTACCAGTATATGAGCATTTGTTTTTCCTACATCTTTAACAACATAGTTGCTTGATCTATTGATCCAGAGAACACAAGCTATAAGTAATAAATCTCAAGGTTATATTATCTTTGATTTATAGTTTCTGCAAATAGCCTTCAACAATAGGTGCTTTTAATATTTTCCTTTTATTGCTTCCAAACCTATTCAGGTATGAAATGTGCTATCAAAACAAGACAACTCCTTTTTTTTTTATTATTATTACAAGCATGTAACATCTTTTAAGGAAGTTACTTTATCATTCATTTCAAAATACTTCTTTTTTTTTTTGGAGACAGTCTCTCGCTTTGGTGCCCAAGCTAGAGTAAGTGCCATGGCATCAGCCTAGCTCACAGCAACCTCAAACTCCTGAGCTCAAGCAATCCTGCTGCCTTAGCCTCCCGAGTAGCTGGGACTACAGGCATGCGCCACCATGCCCGGCTAATTTTTTTTTTCTATATATATTAGTTGGCCAATTAATTTCTATTTATAGTAGAGACCCGGGTCTCGCTCTTGCTCAGGCTGGTTTCAAATTCCAGACCTCGAGCGGTCTGCCCACCTCGGCCTCTCAGAGTGCTAGGATTACAGGCGTGAGCCACATTTCCAAATACTTCTCTTCTTGAATACTTTTTTCATAGTTATCATGGGTGCTATTAAATAAGCAATATTTATTTATTTAAAAAAATTATTTTTAATTATTATGGGTACATAATAGTTATATATTTTTATAGGATGCATGTGATGTTTTGGTACAAGCATACAGTGTGCATTAAATCAGGGTTATTGAGGTATCCATCACCTCAGGCATTTAACATTTCTTTGTGTTATTGATAGGAACATTACAGTTCTACTCTTTTAGTTATTTTTAAATCTATCCTAATTTATTGTTGATTATAGTCACTTTGTTGTGTATTTCTTATATGATCTTTCAAGTCAGAATATTTACTTCAAATGCTTGTTCTTTCAAGTTGTAGTTCAAGAGACAGCTATTGAACTTGTTGTTTCCTTTGTTAAAATTTACATGTGATCACTTTAAAATACCCCTGAAGTTTTACTGAGCAACTAACACTGATTTAATAGTAATTGAACAATAATTTAAGACATGTTAAAACGGACTTTATTAATCCAAACATTAATGAAATAAGAGCTTTATTTATTTATTTGTCACTTCCTTGCTTGCAGGTGGATTCACCAATGAACTTGAAGCATCCTCATGACCTAGTCATATTAATGAGACAAGAAACAACAGTTAACTACCTCAAAGAATTGGAGGTGAGACAACTGGGCACATGAAATGCAGCTGAAACTTGTCGCATTTCACACTTTCTATTGTGTTTAAAAAAAGCTAAAGCATATTATTTCTTAAGCCTGATTCTTCTGACTTCTGCAGAAACATACTACCTTTAGATCATGTTGTTTTTGTTTTTGTTGTTTTTTTAAAACCATCTTATGAAGCCGGGCGCGGTGGCTCACGCCTGTAATCCTAGCTCTCTGGGAGGCCTAGGCGGGTGGATTGCTCGAGGTCGGGAGTTCGAAACCAGCCTGAGCAAGAGCGAGACCCCGTCTCTACTATAAATAGAAAGAAATTAATTGGCCAACTGATATATATATAAAAAATTAACCGGGCATGGTGGCGCATGCCTGTAGTCCCAGCTACCTGGGAGGCTGAGGCAGAAGGATCACTCGAGCCCAGGAGTTTGAGGTTGCTGTGAGCTAGGCTGACGCCACGGCACTCACTCTAGCCTGGGCAACAAAGCGAGACTCTGTCTCAAAAAAAAAAAAAAAAAAATTACAGGGTAAACTGAATCCAAATTTTAAGGGAACTATAAGTTGTAGAAAAAGTAAACCAAATTGCAAAATGAGACTTAGGAAATTATTGAGAATAATAAGAGTAGTAAGAGTAAAATAAGAGTGCTTAAAAACAAGAAGGAATCATAAAAATCATTCTCATTTTATTTATTTATTTATTTATTTGCGAGCCAAGATTTTGCTCTGTCACCCAGGCTGAAGTACAGTGGTATGATTATAGCTCATTATAACCTTGAATTCCTGAGCTCACATGATCCTCCCGCCTCAACTTTCTGAGTGGCTAGGACTACAGGAGTGCACAGCCACATTCGGCTGATTATTACATTTTTTTTATAGTGGTGGGATCTCATCTACGCTGGTCTCAAACTCAAGTGATCCTCTCACCTTGGCTTCCCAACACCCATATCTAGTATTACAGGCATGAGCCACTATGCCCAGCAGACAGTCTTACCTTTCAATACACAAAAATAATTTCCTATTCAGTTTAAAAATCTGAATATGAAAAGTGAAAATTTTTACTAAATAAAAAAAATGGATGGATAGATTGAATAGCCATGTCTTGCTTAATGATAGGGATACATTCTAAGAAATGTGGTGTTAGGTGATTTTGTCATTATGGGAACATCATAGAGTATATTTACACAAACCTAAATGGTATAGCATGCTACACACCTCGGCTATATGATAAAGTCTATTGCTTCTAGGCTACAAACCTGTATAGCATATTACTATAGTGAATAATATAGGCAATTATAACACAATGGTGAGTATTTGTGTATCTGAGCATAGAAAATGTACAGTAAAAATATGGTATTATAATCTGTATAATCTAATACAGGATCATCATTATACATGTGGGATCTTTTGTTGACCAAAGCATCATTATATAATACATGATTATAGATTGATAAAATTATGACCTCAAGGTTGGGAAGGATTTCTTAAACAGAAAGCACAATTAAGAAAATAGTTGATAAAAATGCCCACTTTAAAAGCTTCTCTTCAGCAAATCATACTGTGAACAAAATTAAAAGATAAGCTATAAGCTGAAAGAAGATATTTGCAATGCATATAACTGATAGAGGATAAGTTTACAGAATTATTCTTTCAATACATTTCTATAAATCAATTTTCTAAAAAAAGAAAACCTAGGGAAAAAATGGGCAGACTTGAACAGTCAGTTCATAAAATATCTCATAAACATATGAAAATATGTTCAATCTTATGATTATATTAGTTGATATAGTATACATTTTGTTACAGCATATTAGTCAACTTTTGTGTTGGCAACAAATAGTCCTAAAATGTCAGTGCTGAGGTGGAGGTTTAAGGAAGAATAACAAAACAATATAAGCCAGGTTAAAGTTTCTACTGAAAAGGAACATGTATCATCGCTGCTCACATTCTAGTGACCAAAGTAAGTCACGTGGTCATGCCTGAAGTCAGTAGGGACAGAGTAGTATACCTACAGGAAAAGGGTGTGGAAAGAACGAATAATTGGAAACAGATCATAAAATCTGTCCCCTTTAGTTACAGCCCCAAAAATCTTAATAGCCAAACAATAAGGTCATGCTAAATGATTATCTGGGGCTCTGTCTGGGATCTGTACCATGTCACTCTGATCCTTAAGTCAGGACCCAGGACAGAGCAGCCACTCTCTTTAATATTGTCATTCTCAGTAGCAGAGGGAAAAGAAAGAACATGGTGAAGTATACACTGGCTCTAAAAAACCTTCCCTATAAAAGGGTCACGTGAAACTTCTCATATTACATTGGCCAAAGCAAGTCATATTGCCCAAGGCTGAGTCCAGCAGAACAGTGATGTATGATCTTCTTGTAAGGAGGGAAAGGATATTTGTGAATGATACTTGTGAGTGTACAGATGATTCACAAATGATATTTGTGAATGTATAGTCTATCACAATAATACAGTCTACCACAATAATTATAATAAGATAATGTTTCATACTCAACAGATTGACATAAAAATACGATAAAACCAAATGTTGTTAAGATTGAGGGGGATATAGGTATGATCTACTGGTAGGATTCTAATTGTTGTAAGCACTCTGAAGAGCAGTTGACAGTATCTAAATAAACTGAAAACATGTATCCCATGTGACCCCGTGTTTCTACCCTTGCTAGAGCTTTTACACATATGCACATGAGACATTTATAAGAATATTATAGCATTTTTACTAGCAAAAACATTAAGCATCCTAAATGTTTACAGGAAAATGGATAAATACATTTTTTACATCCACTAAAATCAATTTAGAACTATGTGATGTAGATCTCAAAAACATAATACATATTAAGTTTTAAAAAAATGAAGGTGGAAGAGTGATACATACAGTATGATACCATGTATATAAAATTTTAAAATTTGAAAAGTAATGTTATATGTTGATTTTGGGTACATACTTACATAATGAAAGTTTTTTTTGTTTTGCTTTGTTTTGTTTTGTTTTGGAGACAGAGTCTCACTCTTGCCCAGGCTAGAGTGCAGTAGTATTATCATAGCTCATGGTACCCTCAAATTCTTGGGTTCAAGCAATTCTCCTGCCTCAGCCTCTTGAGTAGCTCGGACTACAGGTGTGTGCCAGCACACGCAGTTAAGTTTTCTATTTTTTGTACAGATGGGGTCTTGCTTTTGCCCAGGCTGGTTATGAACTCCTGGCCTCAAGCAATTCTCAGGCCTTTGCCTCCCAGGGTGCTAGAATTAGGTACGAGCCACTGCACCTGGCCTGAAAGTAATATTCTAAGATAGTAAGAGTACTATGGTAATATTTTATAAAAATATACATGGAAATGATACATAGATTCAGGATAGTGGTAACTTTGGTAAATTAGGGATTTAGAAGCCAGTAAAGAAGAGCTTTCATTAACTATTTTTTTTGTCCTTTTAAAAAAATACTGAAGCAAGTAAGATAAAATGCTAGCTTATTATAAGTGTAGGTGTAGAAACATGAATATGTATGTTATTCCTCTGTATGTTTGAAAAAATATATATTTTATAAGTGTGAAGAATTTACCTGGAACATCCAGGTAGCAGTAACATCATGCTTTCTATCTTGAAGGACTGAAACAACCTGGTGGGTTTGGGACAATTCAAGGAAGTTTTAATTGCAGAGCCATTCTTTATCAGGGAAGTTGGCACATGTGCTTCATGGGTAGTCAGAAATCATATTATGAAGGCATCTGTGTGCCAATATGATAGATATTGTGTTCTATTACTTTCTGTATGTGGACATCTTTTTAGAGAAGCTCATGCATGTTGAGTAAATTAACTAAAGGCATTTTGAGAATCCTTGTCTTCCTTCAGAGAGTATCCTCTGACTTTTTTTTAGAAATCATTAAATTCTTTCACTTCATTGGTATTTGGACTGAAATATTAGAAGAATCCATTCTATTTTTATTTTCTTCTCAACAGAAACAATTGGTTGCTCAAAAAATTCACATAGAAGAAAATGAGGACAGAGACACAGGACTGGAACAGAGACATAATAAAGAAGATCCAGACTGCATCAAAGCTAAGGTGCCCTTAGGGGACCTGGATCTGTATGATGGCACATACATAACTCTGGAGAGCAAAGACATCAGGTAAAGAGATTCCCTTTTGAAAAATAAAATTGTTTTTCCCCCAAACAAACCTTTGTCAAATCAGTAAGAAATTATTTCTGTAATAAGAATAAGCTTCAAGCACAGATGAGTTTATTGGAATTCAAAAATTCAAAATACGTACTATATATAAAATTCTTAGAAATCAATTAAAATATTTAACATCACAGTAGAAAATTGAATAATTTTTAGTAAAGAAAAACAACAAACTACAGATGGCCAAGAAACATGTGGAAAAAGAATTTCTCAAAATGGTACAAATTAAAACATTTAGATAGTTTTTATCTGCCAAGTTGGGAAAAACAAATCAGTAACTAGTAAAAATGTAAAGAGGCTGTCAATGGAAGTATAAATTCGTTTAACATTTTTAGAAACAACTTAGCAGAGTTATATTAGTTTTTTTAAAGTCCACAATCTTAACATTCTGTGACCTACTTACTATTTTCCCTCTAATTCTTAACTTACTCCCTTTAAATTGAACTCCCAAAATGTTGGACTGTCAGTGGCACCCATGTGAAAAAGTATGAAGTTGACTAATACTGTTTGCAAAGTTGAACTGCTATGAGAATTATGGGGAAAATTTGACATTTCTTGAAGTGTTTTTATCTCACCTTTCATTCATTCATTGCTTCTTGCTGCTTGATTTTAGCCCTGAAGATTATATAGACACAGAATCTCCTGTTCCTCCAGACCCTGAGCAACCTGATTGTACTAAAATTCTAGAACTACCATATAGTATACATGCTTTTCAGCACTTGCGAGTAAGTAGAGAACTTTGTGGGGGAAGGGAGTGCTTTTGTGTTTGCATTTTTTTCATTTGGTCTCTCACTTATAAAAACTATTTTTCTTTCTTCTGCCCTCCCAGATAGTTTTATAATTTTACAAACATCTATTTCTTTCTTTTTTTTTTTTTTTTTTTGAGATAGTCTTGCTCTGTCTTCCCGGCTAGAATACAGTGGCATTATCATAGCTCACTGCAACCTCAAACTCCTGGGCTCAAGTGATCCTCCTGCCTCAGCCTCCCAAGTAGCTGGGACTATAGGCACACGCCATGACACCTAGCTAATTTATCTATTCTTAGTAGAAATGGGATCTCGCTCTTGCTCAAACTGGTCTTGAACTCCTGACGTCAAGTAATCCTCCTGCCTCTGCCTCCAGAGTGCTAGGATTACAGGCATAAGCCACTGCACCTGCCCTACAATCATCTATTTCTTGAAATTTCTTCAAAATAAATACTACAAGATACTGAATTACTTGTGATTTTTTATATCCTTTGACTATTTTTTTTTTCAACCTTTTTCTTCTCTTCAGGGTGTACAAGAGAGAGTTAATCTTTCTGCACCTCTATTACCTAAAGAAGATCCAATCTTCACATATTTATCTAAAAGGTTAGGAAGAAGTATAGATGACATAGGTCACCTCATTCATGAAGGCCTGCAGAAGGTAAGTCATCAGTGACTTAGAGAGCCAGGAGGCTCTGTGTCAACACAAGATATTTTTCTCTCAGAAAATATCTGCCTAGCTTGTTTTTGTCCAGAGGATGATTTAAAATTATTATTACATTAATATAGATTGTATAGTTTGACGCTAGGGAGAAACATGGAGAAACTAGTCCTGTATGCCAGGAAGAGACAGTGAAAAGTTTTATTTAAACTAATTCATGAAAAACAAAATATAAACTATTTTTTGAAAGAGAAATGTCCTGGTTCTTTGCCTCCTTGCTTGGAAGAATTGCAAGCAGGGCTAGTGCAGTGGAGTGAACATAGACAGGAAGTGGTTCCACATAAACAGCTTTCATTGTAGAAAAGAAGGAAGAAAAAAGAAAGCTGCACAATTGTAGAAAAGAAGGAAGCTACACAAAGTGAAAATACATTCCAGAGGGAGGAAGGGGTCAGTCTCTACAAGTGGAGAAAGATGTTAAGGACTCCTAGGTGGCTTCTTTTTATTGGCCTGATATTGGGGAGGGCTTACAAGAAGTGTGGGATGTTACCAGATGATCTATATACCCGATTGTCAGGTGTTCTGTGTTTTCCTGCAGTCCCTTCCCCTGATTGGTCCCCAGCTTCCCTACCCCTAGGAACTGCCCTCTTGGCCTGTATTTGCCATCTGCAGATTTGATCTCTGCCTAACATAAACTAATATAACCAATAGGGCTTATAGGCTAGGTTATATATATAGTGTGTAAAAAGATTTAACATTTTAGAGGCTTTGGTATATCTACACATAGATTATCACTGTTCTCTGAACCAGAGAAAGAATCACCACCAACAAAACAAAATCTTCTATAATTTTCTTTCTTTTTGTTTTGGGTCAGGATCTATTCTGTTACCTGGGCTAGAGTGCAGTGGTGTCATCATAGCTCACTGTGATCCCTCTGAGCTCAAGTGATCCTCCTGCGTCAACCTTCCAAGGGGCCAGGAATACAAGCACTGGCCACCACATCCGACTAATCTTTCTGTTTTTTGTAGAGATGGGGTCTTGCTCTTGTTCAGGCTGGCCTTAAGCAATCCTTCTGCCTTGGCTTCCCGAAGTGCTAGGATTTACAGGCATGAGCCACTGTGCCCAGCAACTCTTCTATAATTTTCTTTTTTTTTTTTTGAGACAGAGTCTGGCTTGGTTGCCCAGGCTAGAGTGAGTGCAGTGGCATTAGCCTAGCTCACAGCAACCTCAAACTCCTGGGCTCAAGCGATCCTCCTGCCTCAGCCTCCCGAGTAGCTGGGACTACAGGCATGCGCCACCATGTCCGGCTAATTTGTTCTATATATATCAGTTGGCCAATTAATTTCTTTCTATTTATAGTAGAGACGGGGTCTCACTCTTGCTCAGGCTGGTTTCCAACTCCTGACCTCAAGCAATCCACCCGCCTCGGCCTCCCAAAGTGCTAGGATTACAGGCGTGAGCCACCCGCGCCTCTTCTATAATTTTCTTTTAAAGAAACATCCACTTTAAAAAAAATGAAATAGGGAATTATATAACAAGATCCAAGAATTTAAATGTATCTGTCATTCAGTATGACATGTAGGAATTTAGAAAATGGTTTTTGCTCTTCTTTATGCCTAAGGAGTATCATAAAATGCAGGTTAGTTTCTAAGCGGTATTAATTATAGTGGTATAAAGTAAGGTGTGTAATTGCAACATTTGTATACAGTTTGTTGAAATACATAGCTCTGTGTATTGAGGGAGGAATTCTGAGATAATAGTAAGAAAAGAGTTTGACTTTCAAATGCATTATATCATTATCTTTATAGCTAAGTTACCATCTGCATCTTGTTTTTCTGAAGGTAATGTAAAACATTTGCATTCGAGAACTTGATAAGGGAAAACTGGCCCAGGATTTTACAATATCCTTCACAGAATAGTTGAGAGTAGACCATAGTGGTAAGTGCTCTATAGAAAATTAAAGTAGTGGGTAACTGGGTACGCACATTAGATTAAGCAGTCAAGGTTAACCTCTCTGGAAAGGTAAAATTTAAGTTGATACCTGAATGACAGGGAGGAACCAAACTTCAGAGATCAGAGAAGAGCATTCTAAGCCAAGGCAAAGGCCCTGAAGACTGAATGAGCTTGGGTTGTATATTAGTGTGTTTGGGCTACTATAACAAAATACACTCTAGACTATTTCCACTCAAAACACTTCTGACAACAAATGCATGGGGTTTTTTTCCTAACACCAATCAATTCTCCTGGCACCAACTGTGTGTACACTTCACTTCTGACAGTGACTACCTAAAGTTAGTGCAAAGGTTAAGGACTGAGTCCAACAAGACTACCCCCACTTCAGATGTCAATTACAAGTCAAGGCCACCAACCAACCAGCTATAAAGTCGGGGTTCCCATCACTCTCTCCTCAAGTTCAATAATTTTCTAGAACAGCTCACAGAACTCAGGAAGCAGTTATTATTATTGACTTATTAAAGGATACGGTTCAGGAGCAGTCAAATGAAAATATGCATAGGACAAGGTATGGGGGGAAGGGTGCACAGAGTCTCTATGTTTTCCCTAGGCACACTTTCCTCCTAGCACCTTAATGCTCTCCAACCCAGAAGCTCTCCAAATACTGTCATTTAGATTTTTTAATGGAGGTCTTACTAAGTAGCATGATTGATTACATTATTGGCCATTAGTGATTAACTTGATCTCTAGTCTCTCTTTTCCCCAGAAGGCAGGGAGTGGTAGTTGGAGGAAGAGCATGGCTGAAAGTTCCAATTTTCTACTAATACCTTCTTTTTTCTGGGACCAGCACAGGTTCTAAAGCTATCTGTGGTTTACCAGCTACCAGTCATGTCATTAGCATACTAAAACACTCTTATTGCTCCTGTGATTCCAGAGGTTTTAGGAAATGTTTGTCAGGAAATAGAGGCAAAGACCAGATATACATTTATCTATACCACACACTTGGTGGCTTAAACAACAGATATTTATTTGGAGGCTGAGAAATCCAAGATCAAGGTGCCAGCAATTCGGTTCCTAGTGAGGGCTTTCTTCCTGGCTTGCAGACAACTGTTACTGAAAGTTTGGCACTTGTCCCCAAGGCCTCATTAGAAAAAGGACAGGTGGTTTGAGGAAAAGAAAGGGGAGATTTATTAATTTACCAGCAAATGAGGAGGCTAAAGACTCTTGTCTCAATGTGCCATAGTCCTCACTATAAGCAGAAATACAGAGCTTTCAAAGGGAGGGTTTTCAGCTTCAGGCTATTGCTATTTAGGTATAGTTGATGGTCCTGATTGACGCCATCTCCAGGGAAGACTATCTTGTGACCTCTGCCCAGACAATTCTGTTGAGCCATTTCCTGTAGTACAAAGAACAAAGAATACTCCCCTGCCCCTCTGATTGCTAGTCTTGGTTAGGGATGAGGGTTTTCATTCCCAAAAGAATTAGGGAGGTTTTAAAGAGACAGCACATAGAACATTTTTGGTTTTTTCAAGCTATTACCTCTGTTACACAACCACTTTCTTTCTGTGTCCTCACATGGCCTCTCCTGTGTGCATGCATGAAGAGAGAGATCTCTGTCTTTTCCTCTTATAAGGGCACCAACCTGTCAACTGAAAAGAAGCCAAACTGTAAAATAATTAAAGAGGTTTATTCTGAGTCAAATTTGAGGACCATGGCCTAGAGCCATGCCCAAGAAGCCTTGAGCAAGTAGACTTGCTCTGGTTGGGTTACCGTTTGCTTTTATATGTTTTAGGGAGACAGGAATTACATGTAAAGTCATAAATCAATATATGGAAGGCATACATTGGTTTGGCCTGAAAAGGTGAGACATATCAAAGCTCAGGGGCTTATAGGTTATAGGTGGGTTTAAAGACTCATTGATTTGTAATTTGTTGAAGAAATGAAGTTTTGTCTAAAGGCTTGGAATGTTTTAAGGTAAGGAAGTCTGCTGATCAGAGACAAACCACTGGATATATGTTCAGACTCAAGCGCTCTGTTAAGTAACTAATGACCTATAGGTATGACTTAAGCTTTGTCTTGTATATTCTTAGGCCAGTTATTGAGTTACTAAGGACATCTCCAAGAAGGAAAAGGGGACATGATGAGATGAGTCTGACCTCTCTTTTCATGGCCAGTAACTCAGCTTTAGGGTGTTTTGGAGGTCCCCTTGGCCAAGAGGTGGTCCTTTTAGTCAGCTGAGGGAGAGTTTTAAGATTTTATTTTAGTTCACAAACCCTATTAAATTTG